TTAAAAAAAAAAGCGTTATTAACCAGGTTTACAACGAATGCAGAGGCCATCCGATCCCCTCAACGGTTCTCCAGTCTCTTCATCCACTCTTAATAAAGCTACGGGATACAAAGAACTGCCGCATAGCGGCACAAATCCAACTGCTCCAATCGTGTTATCGATATTCACTGTTCGTAATAAAGAAATATTTTTAACGAATCGTTTAATCATGGTCAGAAATCGAAAGTAGGACAAAAAATTACCAAGATTCGAATTCCCTTCGGTGGCGCCGTAAAATTCTCCTATTTGCTTCACACCGAATCTATCCACGAAAGGTTTCCATATCTGGGGTCTGAGACCATTTCCAAACATCAGTCGAACTTTGTGCGTTGTATCGCAAGGGGCAGCCGGTGCAGTGAGCAGATATCGACATATCTCACCGATGTACTGAGCAACCTATGACCGGAAGAGAACGCAAAGAATACACACGGATAACAAAGCTCGATATAAAGATTCGTGTATATGTATATATATATATTTTTTATTATGCAAAATTGAATAAACGAGATATAGATCTAGATGGAGGTAATGGAGGAATAAGTTTACGGTGCACTCGTAATGAACACAATCCGGCCAAAACTTGGAAGCGCTGAAACGTCTGCGAAGCACGACCGTGATTCCTCTCAGCAATGCTTGACCTACTCCAATTAGGCCTCCAGCCGTGTGATAGAGAGGCAAGGAATTATAAATACGATCGGTTGGCCGTAGATTCAGCATAGAGTTCACGCCGCATGACATCAGCATGTATCTAAAAATGATAATTGATCGTAGATACGCGTCGAGATGCAAAACGATACCCGTGATGATTAAACGAGAGAGAAACTCTCAGATTTCGTTTTTTTTTTTTTTTTCGCTTGAATAAATAGCGACGAGTGTACAAACGGATGTTGTCTAGACGCAACGATAACGACAGAAATTTAATATCATCGAACTGTATTAAAGAATTTTCTTTAATCGACACGTTAATTTAATTTTTGAAAGTCGTTGGAAGAAAATATATTTATTTTTTTATGTCGGTTCGTAAACAATTTTTTCAAATTTCTGTTTAAATTGCTCATTATATAAAAACTACGTACTTTTCTCATCGTTCGATTTTCGAAAAGATCGCAAAAGACGTTGATCGATGTGTTCAAAAGATAAAGAGAGAAAAATAAGAAAATGGTACCTTAAATTTGTTATAACGGCAGCTTTCGGCATTCCTGTGGTGCCAGACGTGTATATATAAATCAATTTGTCCCTGGGAGTGCCGAGGGCCACCGTGTCCAGGGGGCCCGAATCTACGCTACTGATTTCCGGGTTCAGATCGATCGCTCCTTCCAGGCACGACGTGTCGGGAAGTTCAGACCATTGGTACAAAGCCACATTGGGAATTCTCTCTCTAATTTCGGCGATTGCTAAGAAGAGAAAATTGCTATCGGCCAATCCAATTCCCTTGAATAATTCAGAAACTTTCTTTCCCAAAATCACCAGCTTACCGTCCTTAAAATTCGACCCGAAGATGACAGCCTTGCAATTGGCTGCTTTGATACTGTGCACCAGGACATCCTGTCGAAGATTCGTGTTCAGAAGAGCGCCCACCAAACCAGCTTTGCTCAGACCTAACCAGATCCCTACGTATTCGGGCCGACTTTCCATAATAAGACCAACGCTGTCTTCGCGGGACAAGGATTTGCCAGCGAAGTAACGGCCGATCCGATTGCTGTATTCTTCCAACTACGGCGCGAACCAAAGAGGATTACATCGCCTCGAGTAGCACAGCGATAATTAATTCAACTCACCTCTTTGTAAGTCCATTCCTTGTCTTCGAAGATGAAAGCGATCTTTTCTGGATTAGCCGTTGCTTGCCTGCTGAATATCTTCGCCACGGTTAACTTTTGCCATTCCCACCACCATAGCAACACGTTCACCCGAACGAATCTGTATGCGCCCCTGTATCGCATCGAAACAAAGTCATCTTTCATATATTTTATATTCGTCGATCACGAGGAATCTTTTATCGTCGTTGCAAAATTTCTTTCTCGTAAGGCGTATTTTTGAAATAAAATAAAATTGAGAAATTATTTTTCTTTTTTTCTTTTTTAGGTATAATTCAACGATATCGCGATTTACGCGACGTGGATTTTCATAATGGGAAACAGATTGGACGGGAAAAGGGATCAAATGAAATGATTAGAAACGAATTACGGACAATGGATACGGTTGCATGTTTTCTGCAAAGATGATACGTATCTCTGTCGCGCCATCGCCACGTTCCTCCCCGACGATGCGTCCTTCTCTCTCCGAAAGCAATTGAGTAATTTCGCGCCTCGCCACGCGCGTTACGTGTGTCCACGCGAACGCGATCTTTCCACGATCCTTTTCTTTCCCACTTCTCCAATTTATCGAAGAAAGAGATCGTTCCACGCTCGTTCCAATTACTCTTCTTCCTCTTCTTCCGATTCGCGGAAGAGGAAAATTTGCTGGAATTTTATATTGTATCGAGAATCGTAGGGGGGGAAATTTAACGAAAGCAAAGGGAGAAAGTTCGAAAATTTAGAAGAACGGGTGGATCAGTCGTGTCGCTTACAGACTCCTCTGCTCCCCGGAACATTACCTACGCCATTGTCGAAACTCTCGCGGTGGGCATACGATACCAGCGGTCACCCTCTTCCAACGCTTCCACGGTGATTAAATGAAATCAAATAAAATAACGAAGCGAGAGCTGTCCGTGTTACGAGGATGACCATCCGTGCATCGCGGTTTCGTTGCCATGCGTTAATCCCACGACCGGTTGGCAGGATTACTTGTCACGCGACGAGATACTCTTCCAGCAAAAACATTCTTCTCGTTTTCCTTGAATTCGGTCTTTCCCCGTCCTTGTTCTCGCGATTATTGAAGAAAGAAGAGGGATATCGTGCGACTCGATGCTACAAAAAAGTAATATTTCACGAACGAAAGAGTGAAGATTGTTGTAACTATCGTGCTAGACTTTGCACTGGCCTCAGACTCATCTTCTCAACGTTCGTTCAACGCATTGACAGATCATTGAATCGAGATTAACTCGTGTTAAACTTTGATACTCATTTTTCCATACCAATCTCGTTTTTTCTCCCTTCTAGAAAGATTGATTTCTACATATATATTTATCGTTTCAATTGAACGATATACTACACGTATATCTACGTTCGAAAGTCGTTATTACCCGTCTGTATTCGATCACCGCGAAGAAAAAGTTTTAAAAATAACGTAACGAAGTCTTGCCAAATACCAATAACATGTCATATTATATGTCATATATTTTGGAGGGGAGGGCAGGGGATCATATTATACAAACAACACACAAATTTTCTCCAACTGTTCATTTTTTTTTTTTTTTTTTTTTTTATTCAACGATTATAAAATTTATCACCTGTTTACATTACACTCGCATTTGTTCGACGAAAAAATTTCCGTGAATTGAAGGGGAGGAGGGGAGGAAAGAAGGTTGGAGAAAAGAGGGGGGGGGGGAGGAGGAAATATTGTAGCCTCGTAGGAAACTGCACCGAGTACACCACTTCGGCACAGGGCAAATGAGACCGGTTGCTGTTCGAGTGGCGATAGACCAACGTTTAATGGAATGTAAACGCTGGCATCCACCACTCGTTCGCGGACAAGGCCGTGCCACTCGGCCTGTTTATCTTTCGCCAAGACAATTTTGCAAATGATGTTTGCACGATTATGCGCGTTCCGCGTGCAATAGCCCCGCGAAAGTAAACGAAGCCATCCTCGCTACATATGATATTTCAACAACCTGTTGCGGTTTGTTTCTAAGCGACTACTCGCCACCGTTTCTCTCGCATTCGGTTCTAATCGATTTTAATCCGTGGAAATTGATCTTTTCACGCAGTGCGATAGAATTTTCTTTTTTTTCTTTTAATCTATCAGCGTTGTGCACAATAGAATGTGCGTACAATTTCTCTCGATCGTAATACTCTAGATCGAGGATTGGATTATCGTTTCCTCTCGACGATCTAGATTTCAGATATCGTAGAATTGGTGTAGGGGAGGAGGGGGGAAAGGTAAAGGAAGATAGAAACGAGTTTTTAATATATTTTATTTTTAAGATTTGGAAATTTGGAAAGGTGGTACAAGAAAGTATTATTATTGTTTATTTATTGTTATTTTTGTCGGAGAATACGTTTCGTAAGTGAATCGTATGCGTTTTTTTGTCGAGCTGCTCGACAACAAAATTAATGTTTCCTTTGTCTTTCGCAATTTAATTAAAAATTTAAAATAATTCAAATTAAAAATCGGGAACCTCGCGTGATGTTCGATCGATTATTCGAGTATTTTTAAATGCTAAACGTTTCAAAGTGGTTTAAAACAAAATTTTATTTATTCGATTATTCTTTAATTTCCTTTAATTTCCACGATTAGAAATAACCTATCCCCATATCATTCGATCGCTTTTGCACGATCGATCAAACGGACAATCACGTTAAAGAAAATTACACCCTGTGGCACAATTTCGAGTAATTATATAATTTTAATTCAAACGAAACGAGTCTAATTATTTGTCCATTTGAATTTAATTATATATATATTCCTTGTCTCTTTTTATCGAGGATCCATTCTCTAGTTCCCGTTCGAACTTTCACAGAAGAAGGAACGTTATTTGAATAACAAAGAGAAAAAAGAAAAAAATAAAATAAAATAGATCGATCCGGACGAAACCAGATCTCTCGATACTACTCCTTTTGCACGACGAGACCCGATCGAGAACGATGATAGGTTGAAAACAATGTTATTCAGCCGGCTGTTTAAATTCCATGCGCTCCATATTGGCCCTACAATAGTCGTTCACGATGGCACAATGCGCTCGATGCATCCGTCGATGAACGTGCGCCCGGCTACGCACGAACAATATTCTTGTGGTCTTGAATCGACCGATTCTCGCGATCGAGATTGCACTTGTGCGAACCTTTTCAACACATGGGGATCCATGACAGATGTGCACGTTATCACGACTCCTCGGCCGACGACTCTCGAGTTTCGCGAGATCGTTCGAACGATCGTGCCACGATCACGCGTTCCCGCGGGACCTTTGAACGCGTTCAATAGTATCGTAAAATTTCTTAAGTGATCTAATTGTACAGGATGAGTTAGGAGAAGGAACTTGGAGTATGTTGCATGTACTTGTCGCGTATAGTCGTGAACCTGTTGCTCTATTCAGATTCGTTTGAAACGAATGACGGCCACGTAATAAGTAAATGAAATGTGTCTACATTTCTTTTTTTTTTTGAAAGCGAAAAAAAACTCGACGAATAAGTTCGACGGAGATCGATAACTTACGAAAAAAAAAAAAAAATTAACCGATACGATGGTAATTAAATATTAATGATGATAAATTACGGATGATTATATTTTAATGATCTAATGATTTCATCGTGATCGGTAATTACGCGAATTTTCATTATCAACACGAGCACGTGGTCAAAGTAGAATGTCAAGCAATTTGGAAGACCGATTATGGATAGTTGCCAATTATAAATATTATTATACGCCTTTGTTATTATCAATTATTTATCCAAATGAAAACTTGATCTCAGATCTAATATCGAAATTGCAAAACCGATCGATAAATATAATCGTGATTAGATACAATGTTAAATTATGCAGCGTTAATCTTTTCTTATTTGACTTGATCAATCTTTTCTTCTATTTCTCAAATACTCACAGCACATCTCTAGGTAAGGTTTTGTAGAGCAAATAAATGAAGCGTCGTCGTTTTCCTGTGAGCAAGTAGGCGCCGATACACACGGTCAGAACCGCTATCACTAATTCGTTCACTCCCATGATTTTCTAACGATTTCTATTAATAAAGAACGATCTACAGACGCGTGATCGATTGGATGATCACGTCGTCTTTGCACACGTGATATGTTAAGAGAAAGAGAGGAGGAAAAAAAAAAAAAAGAACCAACCAGCAAAAACACACGCTCAAAATTAATTCGATAATCCGACGACGTGCGAAAACTCTCGACGCGAGTAAACGTTCGATACGGCGATCGAACAACGACTAAACGTTCGCTGGATAGATGGTGTATGTGGTACGATTGTATCTGCCGACGTGTGTACACTCGTATTCGTTTCGTCTCGCGAAACGTGCTAGTATTCGTCATTGATAGCCAGCGACGTAAAATGTGGGGGTTCCAATTGGGGGGGGGGCTCGTGTTTCGCGGCTGCGTTTCATGCAGACCGCGTTTCTTCCTCCTTCTTTCCTTTAATTCGATGATTTTACGATTGTTCTCTCATTATTTTCTACAAATTAATAATTTGACGCTTGAATGAAAGATTGAATCCGATCGAACTTATCGTTCACGATAAAAATTATATAACGAGATAAGGAATAAATTATAAAAATACGGAAATGTTATAAAATTATCGTCTCTAATATTGCTAAATGTGGATTCGAAAGGCGGATTTGCGATGACGGAGACGAATCGATTAAAAATAACAATATATGTATTTATATAAACTTATGATAAGTAATAATACACGTGAGTAATCCATGAAAGACAGGTACAAATATAATAAACGTACGCTCGCAATAGTGGTATATCAGTCTGGAGGGAGCCTTGGTTACGAATATTTCACGGCGATGGATACTGAAAAATAAAACGCCCATAATGCGTACACGGTCGATTGTCGGCCAGTTGTGTTCAAAGCGAAATCGTACACAATCGAACGAACGATGATTGAGTGTCAGAAATGTAAGAGCGGGGAGACGCTTAATAAATTGTTATGTTGAGTTATGCGAGAGAAATTTTGCAACGATATGAGAAGACTACCTACTTGGCTGTTAAACGACGTAAAAAAAAAAAAAGCCAAGCCAGAAGGATGAAGGCGTGTAAATAGATTATACGGGGGTGAAAAATAGTGATGAATACCTGCAATCGAACGATCGAGGCTCGCTACACCGTGTTCGCTATCTGAGAACCAGGTAAAGCACCATGATGTCCAGAACTGAAAATGATACGCGTCGATCTAACTAAATGAGTTGTGTTTAAAACCATTTTTCCTTTTTTTTTTTTTTTTATTGCAAAAATTATACGATCTGCAGAGAAAGATAATGCGGTGCACGATGTTCAAGATAGATGAACCTAGACGTTCGATAATAATAAACTGGAAATGCTCAATCGAAATTGGAAATATTACATGTATTCCATAATTAATTTCTCGGGAAAGATTATTCTATACTTTTAATTTTATTTTGAGAACAATAATTTGTTCTCGAAATTCAAATATTATTTTATTTTAAAAGATAAGAGACAGATTAAGATTGAGCAGTCCTGTTTAAATTTGTGTAACATAATAAAAAAAGAAGAAAATAACATGCGCTTATCATGCACTTTGAATGATAACGTGCATCATACCAATGATGCAGACGACGACCGTCACTGTAATAGTGACAAGAATGATTCTCGTTTTAAAATTCTGTAGCCAAGCCCTTTGCTGAGCTTTTCTCGCCGCTGCTCTAAACTCGTTTCCAGCCATGGTTAAACGATCGCTGACTTCTTGTAAATCTTCCAACTTCTCTCCACGTTCCATTACCTTTTGCACATTTTCCCGCATCACCTCTGTAACTTCTTGTATTTGTAATCTTACGCTAGAAAAAAAAAAAATAAATGAACATCAGCGACATCGATATATAAATATTTCGTAAGTTAAATTATCATTTCTTAGCTTTTAATCGATTATCGGGTACAGAAGATTATGTTAAAGAATAGCGGAAAATCGAATTCTATTTACGAAAATGGAAGATACCTCTTACCTATCCATCTTGCCATCCACTTTAGTTTCCGCCATGGACGTACTCGGTCGACTGAAATGCAAATGTATTCATTAAAATACAATTAGTTAAAAACGATAAAAATAACGATTCGATTCCACTCAACTTACTTGAATAGCATATTTTCATCCGGATCGCTGTCGTGTTCCAACAGTAATTCCTGAAACGATTCAGATTTCAATTTCCCGCCACGTCATCTCTCCGTGGCGCTGTCGAAGCTACAACGACCAACTTTTCGCACGTTACTCACCTTTTCGTCTTTTGCTGCAGTTTTTATGTCCTCCGAGGACAAATCCCACTTGTTACTCGTTGCCATGTTGAAGATTACCAAACCAGACGATCACGCGTTGTTAAACAGATCGTTAAATACCTCGCGCCATGAGTAATGCTTACGTCCGTGCCAAAAACACGCTACAAGAACACTCGACACGTAGCCATATTGCTACAGACACAAACTGCATCGAGAGCTCGAGGTCTGTGTACGAGAGTGTCTCTCTTCACGATAGATGGCGTTGGCGACGTATCCGGTACGATGTACACGCGGCTACGATTTGATTTCCCGCTCGAGATAAACTTGATCCATTCAAAGTTTCCTTTTCAAACAATTTTTATCTTCCATAATAAAGATAAAGATAATAAAATAAGCGAAAGAATAAGTTCGGAAAACAAACTGGTTGTGCATATTGCTTTATATTTCGACATAAACATCTAAGATATAAGTTCTAGTATAGAACGACAAGTATAGAAGTACATCACGATAAATAACAAAATATGTTGATTGTCGTGTGAACGTGCAGGGACTCATCGCGGAAACGTTGTATCTCAAAAACGTCGGAACGATATGTAATAAATCTCGATAAACGATAGTAATCTTCGTTCGCACTGTGTAAACATCGAGAATCTAATCTCTCCAAAAAAAAAGAAGAAAAAAATAGGAGAAAAGAAAGCGAAATACGTTCCCTGCACGATTATTCTCGCGTACGTGAAATTGTTCATTCAGAGTAGAAAAAACATCGATCGTGTGTGGATGACAGATCTGTAATAAAAAGTATCGGACGAGATTACGTATATATAAAAATAGACCAGCCTTTCATTCATAGATATTCATATAACTCTGAGGTATCCACGATTAACTACATCCGTACAATAGATCGTAATCGAGTTCTGTCAGCGCATACGTATGATTCAGAAAATATTTAATCGTTTACAAATTCTTATTTACGAACCGATGCTCTAAGAGGATAGAAGGGATAGAGCGTGACAACGATGGCGTGCAAATGTTTACGATTAAATACGTGCAATCGATTGTTTCTACCATATACAAGCCGCTGATCGATATGTGAAGCGCTTATCTAACTTACGAATATTTGTAATATATTGCGAAAATTGTTGCAATTTTCGATCGTTACTGATAATCAGCTGGCCTTTTTTTCCAAAATAATAACATTAATTACAATGATACAGCAAGTTTACATGCACATATACCGACGGAAGGAACCTTCTCCATCCGCCTTGTACGTTTTTAGGCCGTCCCTACTCGATTGAAATTTTTCTTTTTTTTTCTTTTTTCTTTTTTCCTTTTTTTTCTTTTTCATTTCGACGATCCTATCGATACTTTTCTAAACACGTGACACTAGTTTTCCCGGCCAAAAAATCATCTTTGCTTCGTGGAAGGGGAATGGAAGTACGCGTCTTCCTCGATTGTGGAAGACAAATTAAAAATATATCGAAGATGGATCACTCGCTAAATTATTTTTGATCAAAGCTGCCCTCTATTTTTAATCGCGAAAAATTATACCAGAATTCTCGAGTCAAGATTTCCAGAATGATGCAGGAATCCTTGGGAAACAACTTATTCCATATATATAATATTTTATATTATTATAACTATTAATATTACCTTATATCTATATACATAGTGTCGTATAATAATAAGAAACGTTTTGGACGTCCAGCGTCGCTCGAATTGGACGAAACCAGCGTCCAGCGAGATGAACTAGATGCTTCGATTCTTTTCTCAAAGCTTTTAAATTTCAATCAGAACAACAAAGTTTGCTTCCATCTACGGAAGAGCATTCTTGTTTTTTTTTTCCCCCACTTGCCCGACTGATTTAATTAATCACGGATCACGGGGATCACGATAAAGTCTCGATCTCTTGGCAAACGTAATCGGTTTGAAAATCGAGCCAGGAGAGGAACGATTCCGTGGATAAGTTTCGAAGTTGACGCGAATCGATTCGTTCCGAAAGCAGACCACGACCCGTCCGTTTTTATCTCCGTTAATAGAAATCGTTTAATCGAGACTGCGTAACCGCAATTATCGGAAAATTCGTTCTTTCTCTCTTCATTTCCGCGCAGGGCTTCTGCACACAGATCACAATGTGAAACGATTGACGTTTTACGAATTACCTCTTACAGAATACCATCGTTGATTCGGTGCAAATTTTATCATATAAAAGCGCGAAATCCCTTTTTGAAATTTGAATTTCGAAAAAATAAGAAATTCACGTATGTATGCCGTGTTTTTTAATTAGAAAGATTGCGATCGAATAAGTTATTCCGAAACACATAGAAAGAAAGTGCAAGTAATAAACCTTGGAGTTCTTTTAACACCTTCCAGCCCGTAAAACCGTTACTTTCCCTCCCCCCTCCAACTTGTGGGGCAAGCGTATCGATCGTATTCGCGAGGAATCACCCAGTATGCAAAGCCAACGTCACCGGTTGCAACACGAGATACGAGGACACGTGTTACTCATTAGATCCTAATAAATAATCGAATCGCGCCACGGGACGCCAAATTTATTCTCGCTGCCACGATTAATTTCCCGGCCCATTCGTCTTCCATTCTAATTTGATAAAATTTTGCGAAACGAGTTCTTTTCGATCGATTCTTATCGGAAAGATTCGATTATTATGCCCCGATTTCTCGCTGACATTCGTCGAACGCCAATTGCCATTTATAGATTTCAATTTCGAAGATTAAAATTAATAAATAATTATTATTATTATGGAGAAATATCGATCGACAAACCGTTGGAAATTGAGCGTGGCAATCACCGGTTTCCTTCGGTTTTAGGAACGGTTATCCACTCGATTGGCAGCACCGCGGAGCTAAGCAAATATTATTCGATCAGAGAGGGGTTGGTGAAAGTTTTCTTGTTTGCGCGCCCATCTGGACGTGGCACGCGCGTAGGCTCCTGAATTCGTTATGAGAGTAAAAACGCGGCTGGAAATCGATATCCGCGGAAAAACCCGATTCGGTTCAATCAAACCCCGCCATCTATTAGCTGCATCCATTAGCTCGAACGATTTTAATAAAATCCTCTTAACCCCAGACGATCTCGATGATCCAACTTTTCCATTAATGCGGGCGATGTTTCGTTCCCAACGATACTTGGCCGTTTTTTTTTTTTCTTTTTCAACAATGAAATTATCGATTTTTCGATCGACCGCAAAAACATCGCGCAAAGTTTTTCTCCCAACCACGTTGGATGTTGGAAACGCGATCCATGAAACGAATTGGGAAACGAATTGAAACGTGGATCGATTAATCGGCACATCCCTTACAATACGTGCAGATTCTCGCAGCTTTTGCTCTTGCTGTCGTTCAAGCACATCTTGTTCAATATCTCCCTCGCGAGATTTAGGCTGAGCGCCGTCTTACTGCCGTGCAGCTTCGACAGAATCCTCCTCTTGCTACCCTGCCGTTTCAGCTTCTTGTCACGATTCTCCCGTAGCCGGATCTGCTTGAGCACGCCTACCAGAAGCTCGTCCACATTGTGCTGGATACCGCTGGACGTCTCGATGAATTTGCACTCCCTCGACGCCGCCAACTGCTTACCCTCTTTGAAAGAAAACCAACGGTGATTCCGTCACTGGTTTACTCTGGATTTTTATTATACATCCAGAGAAGTTTTATCGAAAACAGTTTTCGTAATAACACTCGCCATCTTTCCTATATTCAATATTGTATTGTTTCGAAAAGTTTGGGGAAGGAAAAGGAAAAAAGGGGAGGATTGGAAGAATTGATATTTCCGAGAAATCTAGGAATTCGTATTCTCGAGTGGATCCGAATTAATTTGGAATAAAAATGTTTGCTAATTCACGTGACTTGTCGAGAAAATGAGAAAATGAAATAATTTATCGAGGTAAACGAATTGACTCGAACGGATATTTTTAATTCCTCTGGAAATTTAAGGGATATATCTATTCGGTTCGGTAGCATCGGTTTCACAATTATAAACGTTTCACTTTTCGAGAATTGAAATTCACGGGTGTTGATTCTGTCCCATCCAAAAATACGAATTCACTCTTACCGTTGGCCGTGATCGTCCGACTTCTCGCAAGGTCCGATTTGTTGCCGACCACGATCACGGATCGTTCTTGCGTGTAATGCTCCCTCCACAGATAGTTTAAAATCTCCTCGGCGACCTGGAAACTCGTGCGAGACACGGTAGAATACACAACGATGCAGGCGTGCGGCTCGTAGGTGGACAAAGAATTCTCGACCTACGCAAAATTCGTTGAAAACGATCAGGCAGGACAATTCTCTAAAACTCTCCCGTCCGCCTATGGCCACGAAAGATCCAAGGATTCTTTTTTTTTTTTTTTTCCCCATTAAATTTTACTTCCAAAACGCGTGCGCGCGAGTAATAAATTAATTAAATATATAAATATATTCTCCTCCTCGAGAAAAGAAATTCACCGTGGGTGAAAAGGAGGGGGAGGGGAAATGTCGGCTAGCTATTTTCGCTAATTAACCGTCAAATTAATTGAAATATCATTTATTTAGAGAGTTCATTTTCCCCCTCCTTTTCCCTACAAGTTTTCTCGTCGACTCGGCCCTCGTCGTTGTTAATTATTATATTTGTTTGTATCCGTATATTATTTCGCAACTTTTTATCCTTTTATCCTCCCCCTCCTCTTCCCCCGTGGCGTAAAATTGCGTTCACAGAAATTTTTAGCGAAATCTGGCGCGCGCACGATGGCGTGTACGAGGAGTATAAGCGTGGGCGTATAAGCCGTTCGAAACGAGAATGGTACTTACGCTCATCTCCACGTGCGGATGATCGATAAACACCATTTCCGACTCCTCGCCGTCCAACAAAATTGACACCGTCTTCTCGCCGAACTCGTCATCTGCCGATCAATGCACGACGATTCGATAAACGATGCGTGGCAGCAACAACAACAACAACAACAACAAGGGTGAAACGAGGATAGGGAGAGGAGGGGAAGAGTAGTTAATTAATACTTGCTTACGATACGTTTTCGATTCGAATTTAAAAAGATTTAAAGGGAAGGCGGAGAGAGACTCGATGATAAAGGAGAAGACGAACTGCGAGTCTGTCTCGTCGTCGAGCGCAGCCTGGGATGAAGCTGTTCGTTTTAAAAAAAAAACCACCACTCGCAACGAGGAATATACGCGAGGGATTGAAAATTCGGGGGAAAAACGAGGAAAAAGGAAAAGGCATAAACAACGACGTGAACAATGTTGACGGATAACAATTGTAACAATTCTCAAGATACAGGATCTTGAACAAGAAGCGTGCGTGCCAATTTCGAATTTTCGAGTAATTGTTCGTCGAAGTTGATCTCTCAACTTTTAACCCCACCACCCTCGGAGATATAATGCCACTTTGCTTTCAACCGATATACTCTTTGTGCTTTTCTACTTATGAAACGGAAAGAGCGAGTCGAGTGGAAAAGGAATGGCCCCTCTCTCTCTCTCTCTCTCTCTCTTAAATGCGTGAAAAAATATCGACCGAATATAACTCCTGTGCAAAATTTCGATATTAATATTAATATGAAAATTTAATATCTCGTTTCGTTCGAAATTTAATGATTTATTCGCTTGTTTTTATTATGGCGATTTATTTACTTAACTACGTTATAAAACCATATGAAATTCAGCTCGTCTCCCTATTATTATGTTGATCGTAACGCGAAAATTGCGCTCGGAAATAGGATCGTTTTTCGAGGGATCGAATCGATCGATCGATCGTTGAAAAGGCGAAGAATGTAGCGGAAGTTGGCCGTTGAGTATCGTATAATCGGCCGCGCATCGTGTCGAGCGATAATTGTCCTGTAATAAGCGAGACAGGTGTACAATCATAGAGGGGAGGAACGTTAACGATCTACATTGGCAGGGTTACACGAAACCGCCATTATCGCATGCTGCGCGGATCGTGTTCGTTTTAAGCGGAAACCGAGCTTTGCTTGGGAAATCGCGAACCAGAGTTTCCTGTGTGTTATTCAATGAACGAGGATCGATAACTGTAGCTTGTTGTTGTCGGAACGAGAATCAGATGATGGATTAAAGAAAAAATCGTAAACAGTATCTTTTTCATCGAAAATCAGAATCTTTCGATAATCTGTGTAATCCTATGAGTATGAAAAATCATAGAAATTTATACCGGTCGAGAAGATAGATTAGATTAGATTAGACCTTTGACCATCGATCGAGCAAGAGAAAGCGCGAGAAAGAATAGACAACAAAGAGACAACGTGATCTGGAGTGGAATGGAAGTCACGGCCGCGTTAATTAAACGCAAGGATTAAATTCCACGGCCTCGCGATCGCGGCCGGGTGAAATTGTAAGGACGAAGAGACACGAAGAGAGATGAATCCATTAAAAATGGCCGGATGGAGTATAGAAAGGAAGGAGTATCGGAATAACGAAATGCTCGTTATTTACCCGCAACCTTCTCCTCCCCTGTGATCTCGCGCGTGCGTTTATAATTAACGTTCGGCGTAACCGCGAAACTCGTTTAAACCGTGAATGCATCGAGCCTTGCCCGGATTTCTATCATCAACCTAACTCTAAATACGACCGCCTGTCTTCGTTACGCGTAAATAGGAGAAAGGTCCCACTGTCGAATATTCGATCGAACGTAGCACAGACAGACGGATCGCGTGTAAATTTCTCAGGACGAGGACAAACGTGTAGCGCGATCCTTTCTTCGTGGAATAATAATATTATGCGGAGAAGAAATTCGAGAAGAATATCGAGGGAAACTTTTAATAATAATAATAACGATAACTAAGTCTCGGAACATTAGATTTAATCCCCTAATAATCCGGCTCGTGACCAGGCATACGATACGGAAATTTTCTAACTTGTTGTGAAACTTACAAAGTGGGATTATTCAGAATTAATCAGAAACGCACACCTTGTCAACAAACACTTGACAACGGCAAATTTCACGGCAATTTCTTCTCTCTCTCTCTCTCTCTCTCTCCTTTTTCCTTCTTCTTTCTTTTTCTTTTTTTTAATCTCGATCATCTTCTTCTCTCGAGTTAAATTCTTCCATTGGAACTAGTCGCTCGATTCGAGTATGAAATGGAACGAGGACACGGAAGCGCAGAAAGGAGAAATCGTAAAGGGAACAACGCGATGGCGGGGTTATCGAGGCGAAAAGTAAATCTCTCGTGAACCGGCCACAGAACCCACTATGAGCGTATCCCACCGGTGCGAGAGAAGAGTACGAGACTCGTTTCGAGATCTCGTTATCGTGCTTAAAAGAAAAAAAAAAAAATTGAGAAAATAAGAAATCCTCTTTCCCCCTCTAAATTCTATTATTAACGACTCTCCCCCATTAAGGATCCGTACGAATTTTAATCATTAAGATCGAAACCATTGCTGATCACAGCAATGTGGAAAATGAAAGAAAGTGTACTTAAATCGATCAAGAGCAACGACCAATTTACCTAGTAAAAACTGCTTACCCAAACTGGCGTCGTACGTGTTTATGTACTCGCTGGTCATGAATTGCGAGACGAGGGCTGTTTTCCCGACACCGGAATCACCGAGCAGCACCACCCGATATTTAGAAACCTCCTCCATCTCTTCGCTCTCCGTGCTATCCGCGCCGACGCCCTGCCCGCTGCAACAGGAACCTTCGAACGGCGATCTTTCACCCGAGACATTGCTATTCCTGGAAAAACAGGAAAAAGTAGCTTCCGAATTCTAATATGCCAGCGGCAGATTTAATTCGCGATACGTGTCAAGAGGACGAGGAAGAGAAGCAGAGAATCGACCGAACGTCAAAGCAATTTCACCTGGGTGGATAACTCGGAATT